ACCCCCATGACTCCTGAGAGTGGGCGCAGTGACAGGGAGCCACATGGGCTGCAGATGCCTATCCTGCTGACAGAGAAGGGAGAAGGGAGGGTTGGCCACAACAGTATGATGCTCCTACACAGCCCTGTAGCCACCCCCTGCACAGAAAGGGAGAGCACTCATTTTATTTTTGTTTCAAAACAGGAGCTGCCTTGGGCAGCAGGGAAACAGGAAGCAGCTGGGTCCACACAGGGGAGAAGGGAAAAAATTCCCCAAGCAGTGATGCGCATGAACCTGTCACCATCAGCTCACACACACCTACAACTCACCCTGCCACCCCCCACACACCCCTACCAGTCCCTTGCACTGTGGCATGGAGAAGCACAGAGGCCAAGCACAGTGAAAAGCCACTCCAGCTGGCCTGGGAGATGGCTACTGTGGGGGACAATGGGGCACAGCTCCCCAGCACTGCAAGAGTGGGGCGGGTGGAAATGATTATTATGGTGGAGGTAGGAGGGGGAAAATGTAAAAGATTTAAAAAGGAGAAGTCCAGCATAGCCTGGCTGCTTCACAAGGGGATGGCAGTGGTGTCTCCATCTTTCTGTAGCAGGCAGCGCCTTTCACAGCACGAAGAGCTTAGAAAGAAGCAAAGAACTGAGGAAGGATCAAAAGAAAAAAGAGAGAGGGAGATGATTTGAAAACATTATTTTTCTTTCACCCTTGCAAACTCTCCCAATCTATCCCCCTTGCTCCCACACTCCCCCTCTCTCAGACTGCCCTGCCCCACACTCTCTCCCTCTCTCCTCGATACCTCTTCTGATTGTGATCAAGGGGGCAGAAAATTAAAACAACAACAACTACATTTAACCTGGCTCAATCAATTGATCTATAACACAGGGAAACAATCCCCTTTCCTCCTCCTCCCCCGTCAGCGGTCAGCATGACAGACATCTTCAACCTGTGCAGCTCGTTGTCCCTACACCCACTCCCTGGAGGCATGGGGGTCTTTTGATGGGGTCCTGCACACCCACCAAGAGACCCTCTTGTCTCCCAGGAGTGGGGGCAGTGATAGGGAGATAGGCATGGCCAATCCCCCTTCCATCCCCCCTCCCCCATCAGCAGTAAGCATGACAGGCATCTCTAGCCCACATGGCTCCCTGCCAACAGGGGACTAGCAAGGCCTTCAAAGGCAACTGGGATGCCAGTGGACAGCAACCTACTTTGATTCATGAGCGGACCTGGTATTGAAGTTCGATTCACTGGTCTAACCTAGATTGATTAAGTCTAATACCACATCAATCCAGGTCTATCTTAGACCGGGATTCGCCATTTTTAAAGCAGTTTATGTGTTCCAAACTTCTGTCCCAATATGGGTATAGACTGGTTTCCGACCACCTAGACCAGAAAAAGTGTAACGTCTGTACCTGGCCTCTAAGGTCACAGTCCTACTTTTCTATGAAAGTAACAAATAGAAAAATTAATTTCTGTTTAATTATGGCTCCTTTAAGCTAGCTGCTTGACCAGATCAACTGATAAATCCAGTATCATGGCTGCTTTGAGTCATGTAGCTTTATTTTTTGTTTACCTGGAATCAATCTCATGTGCTTTTTCCAGTTTCTTTTGTTTTTCTGCCTTCCTTTCAACATTTACTTCGTTTGGCTCAGATACAATACAAGTGTCTGACAACAGGAGATCATCGGTTTTTGTCAACTTAAAAAAATTGAAATCATAAAACACATTAAGGAAGTCATAAGTACATACTGAATATTGGGGGTAGGAAATTTGAGGATTTGAGAAATAAACTCTGTCAACAGGGCCAAATTTTAATCATTATTGTACTGGAATAACAGTAGAATTACCCCACTTAAGTAATTTGCATTAGCACTATAAAAAGACAGTGAAGTAACTTGAAGCATGAGAATTCTGTGGCATATGTAGAGCTCCCTGGGAGTTAAAGTATTTGGACTGCAGTTTGCGTGCTGTACTTGTATCCATGAGAAACAGGGTAGTGATAAAATAACAAATAGTTACAAGGATACATTCAGCAGCAGCTTGAAGGTTTTTATAAGTTTTGATTATATATACCCAATCTCTTGATACAATACTCTTCAAAAGGCTCATATAATGAAACAAGCTTTCTGGGAAATATTTTCAAAGATGGGTAGTAGCTTTTAATGACACAAACTTGTACCATTACCTTGCAAAACCCTGAGAATAAAACTAAAAGGAGAAAAGTACAAAGGAGATATGAGAGAGGCACAGCATACAAGAACAAGGGGTTCAGTGAAAGAACTTGATTGAGTCTGCTCTTAGAGCTGTTCTAGTTAAAGTGTCACCCCTGCCACTCGCAGACCACATGTAAAAGTACCCTAAAGTGCCACCCTGCCCTGCCTTCTGCTTGACTTTAGACTAATGTGGCTAAGTACCCCTCTACTTATTTACTAATTAATTGAAAAATTGCTGTGCTGGCTCTGAGGAGAAACAGATCGGTCACAAACTTCACCAAGGAAGTCAGAAAGCTAAATCTTAACAGTTCTTTTTCTTTTTTAAAAAAGATAGGTGAGGTTATTTACATAAGTGGTCTGTAATTGAGGGCATTATGGAAAAAGTGACTTTTGGACGGGGGATTTCAAAGTTCCAGCAAACCTATCGTTGGCTACTTGCAACAGTAAGAGGGAAAGATACAATGTGATGTAAAATGGAATTGAAGAAGAGCTGAAGCATATCCGAGTAAGAGAAGCAACTTTTCAATCATATACCAGTATGATACAATTTGGGTAATTTGTTGAAATGTTACAACAAAAACTGGCACATTTAAATAACATATTTTCTATAATCCCACTCCATTTAATCATTCCCAGCAAATTTTATGTCTGAAGTCGTATTAAATAGTTTAGTACCTTTTTGGTAAAATCCACATTATGCTGTTGTTGTTCATTATTGTCTTTCAGTTGTGCTATTCCTCCTAGAGGAGTTTCATGATTTTGCTCCAGATTATTCTCTCTGATGGCACACTCTAATTCCTTTATGTTACTAGACAGTAAATCATCCTTTCTTCGATTCTGTAAGACAATATGATACTCAGAGGTACTGAATGGCATTACTGCATACTACCTTGTTGTTCTTATCCAAGACGTACATTATCTTGTCCACAAAAAAACACCTATACATGCTCAAACTGAGAGCTGACCATCCCATTTCCTCACATTTATGTGCCAGATTGTTACTATAATGAAAGATACTGCTACTGTACATACAACTATAGTTAAAATTCCTTTTGAAACCTAAACTTTGGGCTTCCTGACTTTTGTGCAAAACCTCCAACTGTAATACACTTCAGTGGCAGTTTGTTGCTTATAGTAGTTTGCCATACACTTTATAACTACATCATACATTAAGAGGGAGGGGAGCCTATAGTTACCCTTAAGTTTACACTACCCAACATTTTCCACTATAAAAGATTCCTGCACATTGTTTTTAAAGGTCCAACCTTTCTATGGGTTGCTGAAGGCCTTTTATATTGGCATCGTCAGGTAAAATAAATGCCTGTTCTTTATTCCATGAAATTCAGTTGATGCTTAGCTGAGTTATAAACTGGGAAAAACTTCCTTTTCTCTCTCTTTCAATTTGTGCCCCTAGGAAAATTCTGGCATCCTACTATACATGAAAAATTAAATTAATAAATCCCACAGCCATGCCATCACTACACACCGTTTGACTTAAGCAATCGGTTAAGCAATCTTAAACAGTCATTTGACCATATTTACAGCATGCTAAGGGACTTTTGGCATACCTGTGTCAATTTAAATGGATTCTCCCTGAAAAAAGATGGGCTTTGGGCAGGAGACTGATCTGATATGCCAATAATATTTATTCCTTTTTTCTTCTCTCTTAGACAAGCCTGCTGGTGCCGCTTTATTCTTTCCATCTGCTCCTCCACAGTCATTCGAGGCCGAGTGCTTTCCGCCAGACATAACTGCTCCACTGCACTTCTTGGTCTTTCCTTAAAAAGGGAAGAATTTTTAACACCTTTCAAAATGAAACAATGTTCTGAACCACCTGTTCAATCTGTTTAGCTTGACAGGGACGAAAATACTGGGTACCTAACAAATGCTTCTATCCAGTAGACAAGGTCATAATAAAAACAAACTGATGGAAGTTGAAACCAGACAAACTCAATGTAGAAAGAAAGGTAAAAATATTAAGGGAGAAAATGATGAGGGTGATTAACTGTTGGAACAATTACTAAGGGGAGTGGTGGATTCTACATTGCTCGATGTCTTCAAATCAATACTGGATGCCTTTATGGGAGGTATGCTTCAGTCAAATGCAAGGTACTGGACTCAAATACGTTTGCTAGATGAAGTTTAATTGCTTGTGAAGCGCAGAAGATGATTAGATGATTTAAAAATTCCTTCTGGCACTATGCTTTATGAATGAGTACAGCTGGACACATCTTGTTTTTAGGCCAAGACTAACCAAGTTTAACACCATTTCTGAGTTTTTATACTATATGCAATCTAGAAAAGGTTTGTAAAGGGAATGAAGTAAAACTCCATATGATATTTGTAAAATAAATGTTGATCAACTAAACCAGGGCTTTACCTTAACAAGGCTAATAGTTTTATTGACTTGTAGTCCCAAAACAAGAAAAGCACTTATTCAGCATCCTGTCTAGCTGTAATACTAGTGACTATTAGAAAAATCTTACATGCTCAGTTGCTTTTCTCACAAGCTTGTAGCTTTCTGCCAATTCAAATGTAATGAAGTCTAACAGTGTTCTGGTCAAAGTAACTTTTAAAATAATGCCATTCCTTCCTTAGATATTGTGTCTGCTAAAGAGCTACATTTCATTTAATTGAGGATAACATGATGTTTTATTTAAACTAGATCAAATAAAACAAGATACAGCATTCAAGGAAAGAACAGGTCCATGAATTGAACTTAGAAAAATTGCTATACATCTTAAAGCTTTCAAACTGGCTTTAAATACCGTTCTTAAATCTATCTTCTTGTTTTTCCTTAAAGTGACATAAGAGGCTATTGTTGAAGATTCTGGAGTGGGTGATTTGGTTCGGGGAGGCACAACTCCAACAGGAAAATGTGAACCTATAAAACAAAAACAGCAACTTAACTATTATCTTTAACAGCACACACACAACCTTATGGTTTTTCTTAGATAGTATAGGTTGTCAGGATGTGAAAACATTCATTAACAGGTGTTCAATGTTTCACTTACCATAAACTCTGATGCTTAACTACTATATCTGCAATTATCTTTTTCTGTTTAATGAAACCCCTGTCAAACTGAAACCTGGTCCTTACTTAACCAAATGAGTTAAAAGAAATCAACTTAAAAATGTGTTCCTTTTTACCTTGATGATGAATAAAGCTGAATTATTTTTATTAAAAAAATTTTAACCTCTTATTTTTGTTTAACCTCAAAACATCTAGAAAGTTAAATATGGTCTTCCTTGGTTTTCTTGGAAGCATTCATATAGGCCTTGGAGAACAGTTCACGGTCTTAACTGAAGAGGTAGCAGCCTTCACTAAAGTTTCATTGTCCCAAAATATTAAATCCTCAATTAAATAATGGCAGTAAATAGGTGTTAAAACAGTCTCTCTAGGACCTGAATTTGCACGCCCAAGGAAAGCTGAGCATCTACACAACTCAAGATAAATTTAACAAATCTTTCAATCTTTTCTTTAGATAAAGTTGTAATAAATGTAGAGCACAAACTCATTTTTCTTCTCCGTAATCCTTTACCATATAAAAGTTTTCCTGTGTCATTTCCAGGGCTAGAAGTTTTACATTATCTTTCTGTCTTTAGAACTTTCCTCTTCCTTGTTGATGTACAAGAGACAAACAGGAAGAAAATAGCTGACAGAGGGGAAACATTCAAAATGACTAGTTAAGTTTATCTGGGGCAATAAGAAACCTAAACTCAAAATTTCCATCCTGAAAATACCACAGCAAGAAGGGGACCAAATGTTAAATATTATTAATCAAGCCAGCCAAATTAGAAAGCTGGTGTATCAGATAACATCAATTCACAGTAAGTACTGGGTAAAGATAGAATAAACTCTTCCAACAGTCAGACTCAATGTTACCAGGGCTAAAGAAATCTTGCAGGCCACCCCATTACGAGAGCAGTAGTGGAAACATGGGATAATACATAAAAGAAATTAAGCTCGTACTAGTAATCTTTACCATCTATAGGTAGGGTGATCATAAGGAAATCTAGGACATCTGGGACACTGTTGTGTCCCCCCTTCCCCTGCACTCTCACAAGTCAGCAGGGGTGGGACAGTGTGCCTGGCAGCCAGCAGTGCCTGCCTGCCCACCTGCAAGATGCTCCGTGCTGCTCCGACTCCTGGCCAGACCATGCCCTGCGCCCCTGTATTTTCCATTATAATTCTCAACAACTGGCTGGGACCAGCTTCTGAAGTCCAAGACTGTTCTGGTTAAATTGGGTTGTACAGTCACCCCACCTATAAGTAATGATGTTGAATTTAATCCTAATAAATTATTATGGAGTTTTAGTATGTGGGAACATATCCATATACTGCAATTTGGACAATTATTCAACACAATATATATTTAAACATTGAAGAAATACAACATAAAACAAGACATTAAAATCCCATTTGTCCAATACCAATTGAGACTATTTTCAACACATCCTCAAAGAAAGGTAGAAGACATTAGAGGAAATCTGAGACTTTGTGAAAATACTAGTCACACCTGTGAAACACACCTCTATTGCATGTGTTACATAAAGCAATTTTAAATAGCCATAAAGAAGAAAAAATCATTCATGAGAAAATGATCAGATATTAGGGATAAAGAATGGGAGATTATATGGAACAATTCACACATTCATATTTATGACAATAAAGAAGAAAACTATTTTAAAAAATTCTTTCACATCATTTAAGAGTTGTAGAATACTGATCACTTATTTTATGGTAGCTACAAGAATTACAACTACAAAAGCCTGAAAGAGAAGCAACACTCCTAAATCACTGATAATTTCAAAAAGTTTAGGAAGTTTTAGCACTGGAAAAGTTGCCCTATCAAGTCAACATTCCATAGGGGAGAAAGGAAAGAAAAGAGGCTTACTTAGAAATCTAGTGGAAATTCCTGGGATTTGATGTACAATAATCTTATACCCACCTTAAATCAAAAAAAATTGAGAAACCTTTTGAATATTGCAGGAAAGTACAAGTTTTATAAGCCAACAAATTTGGAATGAATTTGAAATCGAAAGCAGAGATGGGCAGAAGATAGTAAGCCCTGTGTTGTACAGAGTTCTGAGGAAAGAGGGGAAATGAGGGCAGGTTACAGATATGAAGAAACAGAATTTTAATAATGACCATGAAAAATAAAGGAACTGTCGAAGACTGAAAGAAGAAAATAAAACAAAGCTCTCCTCTATGAATTAAAGGAAGCATTCTTGATGGAAGATAATTTCTGTCTTTATGTACAGATTAGGGAATTGGATCTTTACATGTTACGTTTGTTATTTGATCAATTGGACTCATTGAGAAAGTTAAACAATGACTGATAGTCTGAAGTGTGCAAAGTAAATTGAATAGAGAGGTGGTTAGCCATGTTACTTTGAAGTGAAGCAGAAGATAGGGCAGTAGGTGGCTGCCTACAAAAGCCCATTGGTGTCCCTTCTGCCTCTGCTGAAACTATCGGTGATACAAAGGAACAGAACAAAAGGCTAATTGAAACCATGCAGATATTAAATTGATACACAGATGACTATAAACTGTGCTGTATGTAGACCCTAATGAAGAACTGACTGGTTATTCCTTTTCTAGCATTGTGAGGATTTCTCTGCTTTCCCTTTTTTTTTTTTTTTGAAGTCAGAACAAACAACAAAAAAACCAAATAAAACATATAAAAAAAAATCAAAGTAGTCACTAGTGTGGACAGAGCTAGCAAAACACAGCTAGAAATTACTACTATAAAACTACCACCTTCAGCTGATATGGAAGAAGTCTCCCTCCATTTGCCTGCATGGAGGGTCATAGTAACTTTTCAAAACATCCGTTTCAAGATAAGAGACTTTAGCGTCACCTATTACTCTGGGAGACAGACAATCATATTACTTCTCCATTGATGGATCAAGATAAATATCACAGAAGGCTAAGGAAAGAATCACCATGAGATTGCTTTATTTAGTCCCTTTTGGTTTCACAGTGATCATGAATGGTATTCTTTAAATAATCTGAAACTTAAGTAGTTCTCTGACTGTTATGGCCACATCATATATCATTTAAAGCGTACTTAGTCACCTACATGTGATCCTATTCCAGCCAACACAAGTCCCTGAAAAACTGTTTGTGTCTATTTAACCTTAAAACTAAGTCACAAAAAGCAGCAGGAACATGCAAGACTCATTCATTTTTAGTATTAATAGTTTTTTTAGACTCAAGCAGGGTGGGATAGAAATAATTCTCTGGTTGCTCCCGACGCTGCTGCCAAAATATAAGCCTCACCTGCCCGCCTCCACTGTGCATGCTCCAAACCCAAGACTGAGGCATGAGACACACTCCAGAGATATTCCAAAACACTACTCTCAAGATGTTTGTTTGTGGTGCACTTCAAAAGAAGTGGTGGAGGCATTCTCATTGCCTCATTTCTGGGTTAGGAGTATATAGGTGGGGGTTTATTTCCAGCACTACCTTATGGCCAGATTCAGCCAAGAAGCAAAACACCAGGATGTCCTGAAATGTCGACAGAACAAGACAAAAAGGAGTGACTTGCTGGCAGAGGCCACTACAAGTCTCGTATATAAAACAGGCTTTTAGGCACCTTGCTCAGATATTCCCCAGTTTGGATTTCTGGAGGTATTCAACACATACTTCTAATATTGAGAAGATCTTGACAACTGCATTTTCAGATGTCAGGATTCAACAAGCTGTTTTATACATTGTTACCAAGGATATTAGATTCTTTAAGTGAGAGCGTTCCCAGTGAAGGATTATACTGAGCAATGAATAGCTTCCATGGGGTTTGGATGAAGAAGAGAATCAGAAGCATTCAGCCCCTGCAAGGATCTTTATTGGGAGTATACTCAACAAGACAGAAGGCAATTCAACAATTACTAGATTAAAAAAAGAAAAAGACATTGTTTCCTTGTCTCATGAGTCTGAACATTCTGTGGTGCTGCCATTTTAGACATTCCGGTGACAAAGTTGAAAGTTGGATTCAGGAACCAAATAATTGTTCAAGGGTTAGGACAGAAAATGGGTAATTGTTCAAGGGAGCAGTGTGTGTGGAATATGAGTGATGTGATGAGACACAATGTCAGTAAGGATTTCAGGGGTGCTGTCAAGCTGAATATTTGATTTTATTGTGGTTTTACTAAGTGACATCCTTTCCTTAACATGTAACTAAATGATCATCTTACTGTCAAAGTTTTTTTAGTTGAATTAATACATAAACTAAAAAACAAACAAACAATGATGTGGTTCCTATAGTTGGTTACAAGATTTTGTATTGCTTGAGTAACATCCTGAAAAACAGTTGGGAAGTAGCACGCTTAGGTACCAACCTTTAGCTGTAGAAGTTTCTGACTCTGAAACTGGTTCAATCTTTTCTTCTCCATTAGATTCATCAACTTCTGCCACTGTTGTTAATTCTGGTTCACTCTTATAAAGTCTATAATCAGGAGCCTAGAGGATGAGAATCATAAAATGGACAAACTCCAGTTAAAGTAGTGGAAACATCTATCTTGCTGGTGATTTTTGATCTAATGTAATGCTATTTTTAAATAACTTTTCACTGCTCAAGGGATAATATAGCAGTATTCAATTCACTGTTAACATGAAACAGTGGCTGCTGATTTCTGAAAGATAAAGAAAAACAAAATATGGCCAAAAATGGGAAGGAGCAAACTTACCATTATTATGTAATATTGAGTCCTAAGAAACAAGAACTACCTTTAAAAGGGTTTGGCAAACACATGGCTTAAGACTAGTGTTTGCACACTTTTGTAAGATTTCAGAAAAACCTGATTTTGGAAAACTGACCAAATGCATGCAATCATCCCAGGAGATTTGCTTTGGTGCAATATAAAACAAACTGTATGTCTTAGAACAGATTTATATATGCAGGACTGATGAAAATGTCAAACACAAAAGATGCATCTAAAAATAAAACTGATTAGCCAAAAAAGAAATTCCATGACACAGAAGCAGCCAGATGTCAAAATAAAATAGTGACAGTGCAAAGGAAGGGGGGAAATGCTTGAAGTACAATGTGGCAATTAAAGCCACTTACACAGTGAGATCCATTTCTCTGATATCCTTGAACTTGGTGAATCTTCTTTTCTTCCAGCAGATGTACTGGGCCCCTGCTATAACAGAGCAAGGAGCTGCTATCACTGGGCAGAGGGGGGATTATGGGAGGATGCTCTGTAAAGTCATAGGACCGAGGGAGTGGAGGACGAGGTGGGACTACTTCCTCTTCCTAAAGATTGTAGAATAGTCATCTTATTTAGATGTGTACACCTGTTACAATTATATATAACTCTTAAAAAGTATATTACTATAGCTGTATCAGATTCATATTTTGGAACTAAAGAGACACTGTCACGCTAAAGAGAGATGATAAAACTTAATTGTGTTATAGCACCATGATTTAAGATTAGAATACTTTTTAAAATCTCATTTTCACCATTTACACTACTTACTTTCTCCATGTCATGCAGCTAGTTATATCTGCAGTTTTAGCATTTGAATTTTATGCTCCTCATGAATACATCTGAGCTCACTGATTTAATTATGTATCTATTTTCCCTGAAATTCACTATTAAAAGATTTCCCTGTACATTAGGTTTTCTAAAATTTTTAAAAGCCAAATTTAAATTTTGAATGCAAGACAAACATGACAATGTCCCTTTAAAGCTATGATTTCTAGACATTATAGGCCTGGTTTTCAGACAGGTTAAGCATTTCAAATGATGTTGGATGATCAGGCCTTCTGAGAACCAGGCTGCACATGAGAAAAGACATGTAAAGCAATATGTTTTTCTACATGAAATGTGCGTGCGTGTGTGGGGGGAAATACAGGGTTCACATTTTTGGGGTGGGAGCCTGGGGACAGGAAGAGGTAAGGAATGGGGAGAGAGAAATATGAATTGGTAAGAATGTGAAGTCACAGAACAAATAACAATTCAAGAATCCCTATCTGGAACTTTACTGTTGAGAATCAGTTCTGTAGTTCGGTAATAGACATGCCTATTTAAAAATACTAAATATGCATGCCAAACATCTTTAAACCAGTTAAAAAGTAATTTCTATTCACAGCATTTATAATTTAGAAATTCAGTAATACTAGAAGGTACAAAAAAACATACCTCATTTTTGTACTTAATAGTTGAAAAAGGCTTGGATGCAATGATACCTGTTCAAAAGAAAAGAAGAACATGAAAGTGTGTTTTCAGTGAGTAACAAACACTAGCACACAAGCCAGCCTCTATTGCCCATAAGCTCAGATGCTAATTTAAAATGGTAATTAAATTCAGTTGTTGCTTTTTTTCCCACTTTTCAATTGAGCAAAAGCAGATAGAAACTTTGCCCCTTAGAAGAACAACACAATACAATGGTAGTGTTAACAGATGAAAGTGGCCAATTTACCCGCCTCTGTAGAACTTCTTTGCTGTTTATGCTTGCTCAAACCTTCCATGACATCTTGAATTCTCCATAGTTCTTTCTGAATCTGAGCTCGCTGTATACCTGCTGACTCAGTCTGCAGTAAGGAAACATTATATATGGGCAAGTATATATCTGGAGAATACTGATTTTAATTTTCAGACAACATCACAAACACAAGAGACAACTAAGGTTTAGGAAGCAATGTGATTAGCACTCTCCCATCTCACATTGATAAGCGATAAGAAGTTATGGAGGTTAGTGGTTAATGGAAGAGCTGCCATCACAGCAACTGATAGTTGAGACACCGCTGTGGCCTACTGCAGGCCTGACAGAAGCTTTGCACATCTCATCCTCCAAGAGGGAGGCGAAGCATTCTGACAGCTTGGCTAGTGACACAGGAAGACAAGATATCTCTGAATATACAATGCAGAATGGAAACTGGGGAATTCACCACTGAGCTAACTAAAGCAGCTCTGTTCAGTAGAATAATTGTGTACATGTTAAACTGTTTGCACATCTGTCACTGGCCAGAAGGGAACACCAACAATACAGACTGATGGGTGGATCTGACAGACATTTAAGGGACCATGACTATTAGATATGCAACATAAATCAAGAAACTGGCTGGGTGTTAAGAGGAGAAAATCTATATTTAAATGAGGAAGCAGCCAGCAAAAGAGATAAGAAGCAGTGTGATTACATGCAGTAAAAGGTTAGAAATTTCAGCAACTGAAATAAATAGCTGGCCAAAGTCTGTGGCAAGATTTAGTCACCTGACGACACACAATACCTATCTATTTATTAGTTACCTCTCCTGTGTTTTAGGTTCCTGTCAAACATTACACATTAACCAGCTAATCGCATCTTAAGTTGTGGCCCGGCCGCACGTTGAAGCAATTAATAGCATCATAAAAAAGGGAATAAGCCACAAAGTTATTCCACAACAATGTATAATAACTTTGTGGCTGGTTCCCATCACACCATTATCATCATATGCTGGTTCCTATCGCACACTAAAGCTGGGAGCCCAGTTCAGCTGACGAGTCTCCCAGCTGCTGGGGCACACCATGTCAACTGAACTGACATGGCTCCCAGTCGCAGGTCGGCACCATATGCCCCTGAGTCTGGGAGCCTGCACCTGATGGGGCTTCCAGCCACAAGAGCATGTGGTGCATGCTTGCAGCTGGGAGCCCCATCTGCTGAGGATGCTCTCAGTTGCAGGAGCTTGCTACTTGCTGATACAGGGGGGAGCCCAGGATTGTGACTGTAGTTGCAATCATGATCCCAGGCTCCCACTGCACTAGCAGTAAGGTGTGATGGAATCTGATGCTCAGCCCCACAATCACACCTCCTGCCATACAAGTGTGGTATGACAGGAAGCACGACTGTAGATCGTGTATCAGAACGCATCATGCCTTCATCTATACATCTGGCAGGGCCCTTAGAGTAAAACAACCCCCAATGCAAACTCTTGAGCAAGTTTGCACAGGGAACGTATACAAGGATAAAAGGAAAAAACCCTCACTTCCAACCCTGAAAATAGTGTGAAGATGAGAATCTCAGCAAACTGTTGAATAAATTATGCCTCCATGACCATGCAGGATTTGGGTAAGTGACACTGTTTCCTACAGAACTTTCCTGCTCCTGTCACTACCTCACCATCTCCCTTCTACTGTGGTATGAGGAGAGATGTTCTACCATGCCTAGGCTTATGGTGTTTTAGTGTTCCTTATTATTTGAAAAGTTCAGGACATAAGTTAGTTAGCCAGACCTCTACACTGACATCCAAAAAATACTAGGAAGATAGCAAACATACCAACAATTAACACCTGTGTAAGAAGGGAAAGCATTTTTATTCAGCGTGATCAAGCATGTTTCTTTGTTATTTCGAGCATGTAGCTAGCTCGGTTGCCTGATAAACACTTAGGAGAAACAATTTGCTTGTTAACTATCTAAGATGATAGAATAGTAAGCAATGGTCTCAAATTGCAGCAAGGGAAGTTTATGTTGAATATTAGGAAAAAAAATCTCTCACTAGGAAGCTGGTGAAGCACTGGGACAGGTTATCTAGAGGTGGCGGAATCTCCATCCTCTGAGGTTTTTAAAACCTGGCTCGACAAAGCCCTGGCTGGAATGATCTAGTCAGGGACGGTCCAGCTTTGAGCAGGATTTGGATTAGATGACCTCCTGAGGTCTCTTCCAACCCTAATTTTCTATGATTCATTTAACTTCAAGTAAGTT